TGTCTATCGTTAGTTCACAGGAAAAACAAATTTAGCTTCCAATTGACGAGATGAACACATCCTTATAACTTCATATAAAAAGACTGTTTTCTTTCCTGGATGTTTACATTAAAACAAATTATAAAAGTGATACAAGCTCTCGGCAAAAACGTCAAATAATACCAACAGAGGTAAATCAGCAAATATAGGCTCCCAGACAGTTTGCCCCCATCCCTCTCCATTCCCATATCTCACTCTTTACACATCCACATTTTAAAAGAAACTTTTGGAGATCCCCTTCCTAGAATTGTTTCTGATAATCTCTCCACGTCTCTACATGGATTCTTACCCACGGTAAATTCTTAACACTAGGCCAACTGCCCAAACAGGCTCCTATTACCTCCTTCCCATAAACTGGCCCAGAAATGGTCAAGGGTGAATGGCAGCCGCAAGATTAGCAGAAGTAAAATCACTGGACTTGAGATCAAAAACATTGAGCTCCAGTTTCTGTTACAACACTTTCTGGCTCTGAGATACTGAACAAATCACAACCCAGTCTTAGTCTTAGTTTCCTCCCCTGTTTCAAGGGTTTGTTGTGAAGTTCAAGGGTATCTGTATAACAAAGCATTTCTAATACATTGCTGTTAGAGTAGACAACCTTCCCCTCCACTCTCTGTGTACACACAGCCATATCCATTGGTATTCACCCATATACAATGGAGTTTTTGTTTCATGATTGGCACTGAAAAGAGGAGTTAGGCTGGAAGACAGGCAAGGAGGGAAGCGGTACAATTAGCTTTGTCAGGCTGGGTGGTATCTGGGGTGAGGAATAGTTCTCCAGGTGACTTTGCCAACCTTAGATGTGGCCAAGTGGGGATTGGAGCCAGAGGGAATGAAGTGGGTGCATCGTTCTTGAGAACCTTAGCTGATTGGTTCAAGTGTACCTGGGATGTCCTGATTCAGTGCCGTATTCCAGAGTCTCAGAGGCAGAAATAATCAGGAAATATTTTGGTGGGAGGGGAGGTGCCAAGATTCTGCTAATATTCAGGAAAGGCTACCAAGCCCATAGATACTGGACTTGGAAAAAATATTCTGTCACTATAATAGACTGCTGGTTTATGCCATTCTAAGTTGTGATTTGGATTGCCATCTAGGAAATGGGCCTGTTTTTTCCTTCCATTGAATCCCTACTGCCTAGTGGCACCCAATAAACACTGGTTATGAACTGACTATTCTCATACATTTTCCTTTAGCCCTCATGACAATTGAATAGCAACGATGTTTGTATAGTAAACTTGTAAAGCCCAGTTTTTTTTAAAGCCTAGTTTTATACCCAGTTTCAATTCATCTCAATAATCCAAGGAGGCAGTTTTTAATTATCATTCCTACTTTATGGATGAGGTTCCTGAGGTTAAGAGAGATCAAATCATGAGCCCAACAAGTAGCAGAGCCTGAAATAAACATGCCTTCCATCACTTACCAAGGGGTATATGAGATGGTGATTATTAGGCTGTGACTTAGAAGAACTGCTTGTGGTGGGTAAGAGAGGTGTCCCTGAAAGGTGGTGTACACCTAGGGAAGAGACACATCTTCAAGCAGGAAACAGGAGCTAAAGAAGGCAACCTTTACACCAACAGCCATCCCACTAGTACTGTATCGTTGAAGGTCCCACTCTGTGCTGGGCCTTGTATCTGGTCCTTGGGACACAAGAGTGAACAAGTGAGACAATGAGTTCTCCCAGGCGGTGAGAAGATGGTGCCCACCATGTAGGAGGCTGATAAGGCTTCAGGATATGGGGGCAGAGGGTGAGGTCTGTCATACTCTTGTATGGTTTTCCAAATACCAGTCCAAGACGTAGCACCAAACCTCCAGGAATCTATTTCTTAAAACCTAATTCAGATGATTCTTTTTTTTAAACTATTTTTTTATTTTTTATTTATTTATGATAGTCACAGAGAGAGAGAGAGAGAGGCAGAGACACAGGCAGAGGGAGAAGCAGGCTCCATGCACCGGGAGCCCGATGTGGGATTCGATCCCGGGTCTCCAGGATCGCGCCCTGGGCCAAAGGCAGGTGCCAAACCGCTGCGCCACCCAGGGATCCCTAATTCAGATGATTCTGATGCGTAGTCACGACAAGTAGGATGTGCTTGTTGCACATCACTTTGGCTCCCTTTTATTTTCCCTGAGCTTTTAAATTAAAAATTCTACCTCCATCCCAGCTTTGCTATAGAGGCACACTCAGGTCAGAATCTTTTAAAGAGTAGTGATCGCCCACGCACCCCTAGGCCAGAGAAATAACCAGAAAAATGGCCTCAATGGTGGAGAATCCCATGGAACTCAAAACCATACTGTGAGATCCAGAAGCCCCTTTTATTGCTTTTCAAGGAGAGACTTTCTCTAGGGCCAATGTTAGAGATCCAAAGTTTTGTTTAATCCAGAAAGGCAAAAATTCCCTTGCAATAAGCCTCAAGTCTAGGCCCTCTGGTTCCAAATCCTATGCTTTTCCCATTCTATCTGTCTTCTATTCCATCTGCAGCCTCCTGAATTGAGATCCTAAAATGTCTGAGAGACACTAACACTGGGTAATGTACAGACAGGGAACCTCTTCAACTCCGCAGCTTAAGGAGGCCTACCTAAGGGGAGCAAAAAGCCAAAAATGTCTTTTTCCTACCCTGAATGTTGCTCTCTGCTCTATTATTTTTGAGAATAAGACTTTTTTTTACTTGTGGTTGTTCAAACAACTCTCTTACCTCACATCCTCTAGCATTAAGATGGGATTGCTTATTATGAAGGAGGGAAGAGAGGCCAGGAGAGGGGTCTTGGGAGCCCCAGGAAAGGGCAGAATCTGAGCTCCTAGGGAAGGAGCCTGGGAAGCCTGGAGCTAGATGGAGTCCAAAGGCCAAGCGCTGGAGATCCCTGGGAAAGAGAATAAATAACTCTACTTCTTGCTTTGCCTAGTGTCAGGAACTGAATGTTTGTTTGCCTCCCAAGTCCGTATGTTGAAATCCTAATTCCCACTGTGATGGTATTTGGAGGAGGGGCCTTTAGAAGGTGATGAGGTCAGGATGGTGAAGCCCTTGTGGACAGGATGAATGCCCTTTAAAAAGGGACTCCAGAAAACTCTCTAGCTCTTTTTCTGCCATGTGAGGATACAATGAGAAGCTGCTAGACTGTGACCTGGGTGAGGGGCTCTCACCAGGACTAACCATGCTGGCATCCTGATCTTGGACTTCCAGTCTCCAGATCTGTGGGAAATAAATTTCTGTCATTTCTAAGCCACCCGATCTATGATAATTTGTTATAGCAGAGCCCAAACTAAGACACGGGTAGTAGTTCCAGGCTACACCTGTTGTCCCTGGGTAAATATCAACACCACCATCCCATTGTTAAAAGTGTCCTAATCACACAATATCTGGCCATTCCAGCAAGGGAGAAACTGGAGTCCTTCCTTCCTCCTTTTATCCTAGGACATTGCTTTGAGAAAGGAACTACAACTTTCAGACACCAGGACAATGAGCTCCTTATAGTAGGGACTGACTGATTTAATAAGAAAAGCATTTCTTAATAATAAGAACAGCATGAAGTTTATTATGTACAATAAAAAGAGAATGTCAGGACACCCAGGTGGCTCAGTGGTTTAGCGTCTGCCTTCGGCCCACGCCATGATCCTGGAGTCTCAGGATCGAGTCCCACGTCAGGCTCCTGCATGGAGCCTGCTTCTCCCTCTGCCTATGTCTCTGCCTCTCTCTGTCATGAATAAATAAAATCTTTAAAAAGAGAGAATGTCTGCTAAATACCTTGTGATTGAATTTTGTATCCCCACCATCTAGCTGTAAGTCTGAATTCATGGTTCTTGCCTCACCTACCCTCATAGTTCCCTTTTGACCAAACCATACCTACATCAGTATCTTAATGATTGCACTGACATCTGGTGGTCAATTCCAGGTGTTTCTCTGGGCCTCTCCTTTACTAGATGATGGATTGGTCTGTATGTACCACCTTATACTCCATCAAAGCCACTTTTATCTGAGCCCTACAGCGACCAGATGTGGAACTGTAATTCATAGTAAGTTGTTGATGGCTGGTAACACCTAGATGTTTTTTTTTCTCCAAAGATATTTAGAGGTAGGGATGGTGATAGTGTGGAAGGGGTCCAGGAAAATGATAAATGACCTCAGAAACCCAAACTTCTTTGTGGAATTTCAGGCTTATGAGGAAGTTACCTTTGTAGAAGTGTCCTTCCTAAAATGATATCAAATAGGTCAAAAGCATTAAAGTTCTCGGTAGCAACAAGTCAACACCACAGATGTGATTGGATACCAACTGGAGAAATTCTTAAACAAAGAGTTGGACACCTGGTAAACTGCCTTATTACGGGTCTGGCTCATGGAAAGGGGAAGGAGGAATCAGATGCAAGAAAAATAGAGAAAGTAGGAAAGCCAGACTTTGAGATTGTTTTCTGCGTTCCACAAAAGTGTTAAAAGGAAATGTTTGTATGTTCAACCACCTCCCGAAAAGACCCCCTCCTTGGTCACCTAAGAGGGTTTCTCACAGAAGACATTTTAATCCCAACACACCACAAAGAGGGTAGGACTAGCCTTACTTTTCACTGGAGGAACATATGATCACCCATCATACTCCTGGCAAGGAATGACTACAGGCAGGAGGCCTGTCAAAGCCCATCATCTTAATCACTAAAAGCTCAAAAAGGGAGAAAAAAATACAGCTCCCAGTTAGTCCTCATGCCATCAGGAAAGGATCACCAACGTATGAGACAGGATCATTTAAGTAGCCATAATGAATGAGGTATCTGGAATCCCTCAGAAGACACAAGCTGCCCCTCATTTGTTTCCTTATTGTAAAAAGTATTACTGAATCTGTACTTGTAAAAATAATTAAGTATCTAATAAATCATTTTAAGAAATGAGCCTGCTGGTAGGATTTTGCAGGTACCTTTTATACTATCCTCCCTCAACACCCCCGCAACCATGCCCCCCTTTAAAAACACACCAGACACCAGGTTGGATAAGGCTGTGCTTTATTACATGCATAATTACAAATCTGTGCTAAGTGAAAATGTATAAAGCAATGGCGACCCGGGTTTATGCCACACAGAGAAAGGGCTGGACGATTCCATTAACCCTTCTGCCAATGTCCATTCCATTGCCTTTAACATGATTGTTTCCATGTCTTACAATTTGCATAGCACTTACTTGTTAAAGTACTTTCCATTCATTGTCTCAGTTTATCCTCACAACAACCCTGTGAGGTAGGTAGGGCAATTAACACTATCCCCATTTTGCAGATGGGAACATGGAGGCACAGAGCGGTTAAGATCTCAAGGCTAGTTAGTAGAAGCATAGGGAATAGAAACCAGGTCTCCTAACTCCCCAGCCCATGTCTTCCTTTTTAGACTATGTTACTATGCATGACCAGGGAGCAAAACGAAGTGAACAGTAAGCCATAGCTTTGGTACACACTGTGCCTATAAGTGGGGGCCAACATCTCTGCAAGGTAGAATAAAGCTAAGAAAGCATGACTTAAGGGTTGGCAACACTCCAATAAATAATTGCTCTGAACAGCTCAGCACCAAGCTTCCTTTAGAAACTCAGGCTATATCGGCTTTGGTTGATGCTAGTTTCGGTATATGCCCAGCTACTACTGCTATCTATATACACTGGCTTTGGCTGAACTCTTACCAGCGCTTAGGAACTAAAATGTTGAGTTGGGCAGGTTTTCTTTGGCTACTGTGGTTGGAGCCGGCCCTACGAATGAGCATACTACAGAGAACTCATATAGTGGCCCATGGGCTGGAACCTGCTTTTCTGATCCTCCTAGCCTCACTGGCTCATCTGACAAGTAAGAGTTTTCACAGGGCGAGAAGTGAATGGACAGAGGTAAGAGCAGGAGCCTGGCCCTGGTCAAATAAAGAAGAGTCACCGTCATGACATCGATGTCATTGTTAGGTGACAGGACCAGGGTGCCGTCTGTCAGGCCCTACTCCTCTCTGGCCTATACTTGGTTAGCAGCAGAGCTTCAAAAGATAGTTTAAAAGAACAAAATATTAAACATATCATTTTTAAAAATATAGAATGAAATTGATTTCTTAATCATTACATAATCCTAAAGGACCAAATATAATAATAAAAATGTAAATACTTATTAAAAAGCTGAGTACTGAAAAGGCAGGGCAAAGGGAGAGAAAGGAGGGAGAAAGGGGCTGAAGTCAAATGGACAGGGGAAAATGAGCACTCTTGAAGGACCATATATTTCGAGGTACATGCAATACGATGAGCTCGAACATTCCCACCCTGATAAAACAATCTCAGGTCACTTCCTTGTCTCCATGTTGCCAGACGGCATTTCACTCACCAAATACCAGGGTGCCTCTGATTTTCAACAGATATGGACTAGTAGATAATAAGGCTTAGCAATGAATACTTCATATGTCTGCCTTGAGATACTAAAAGCCCTCAACGCTCTCAATAAATACCACCAGCTCTGGCCCCTAATGGTGGAGCAGATCCCTGCTCAGCCCATCAGCTCAGAAATATCTTCCATTCTCTGTCCTCAGAATGATGCTGTTGTCCCTCCCTGCAAGGTCCACATTCAAAACAACATGCTTGTTAATAGCTGAGAGAAATCTGAATTTGGGGGTGGGGAAAGGAGTGACAGGAAAAAAGGGAGAAAGAGGAGAGGCCGAGACCATTTTTTTTAAAACCCTCATATTTTTATACCGTCACATGCATTGTTTCTCTTTTAAAAGGCCAAACTTTAGGCAAGGCATTCCATTTAATTAGTGTACACAGAGGCTGAAGACCCTTTGGCAGGAACTGAGAGGTAGGAATTTATGACTGTGGGACTGGGCAGGGTGACCTGATAGGCCCCATCCAAGAAATGCAAATCCAGCACATCAGATTCTTTCTTTCTTGGGTGATTTGGAAAAAATCAGACTACACAGTAGAAAAATCAATTTTGCTCCCTACATCACCTCACAACTCCCCAGATCCAGATGTTCCAAAATGAGACTGCGGCCTGCCAACATCTGTGGAATCACGTGAAGTTGCTAACACCTATTATTCCAGGAACTTTTCTCCTGAGAGCAAATAACTGAAACTGAGGCAAAGCAAAACTGAGTGGCCACCACAGGTCCATTACATTCATTTCACTGTAAATTTACACAGCTCCCTGAGCTCTGATCTGAGAAACCCTTACCTTTTTTCTCTTTAATACACAATAAGTACATTCTAGGGAGGCTAAAATATAGATTTAAGAAATATTTTGCTATCAAAATTCAAGACAATCTACCTAAAGCTTATCATTTAGGCAATGGCAAGTAGTCACTGCCCTCCTTCCTGAGCAGATGTCTCTTCGTGGGTCAGCCCTCTGCAAAAAAGTAGACTGCCTCCAGCCAAATGCTGCTTTGAGCCTCTCCTCTGCTTGCAAAACCTGGTTTTTGAAAGGCTACGTGATGTTTTCTCTACCTGAGGCATATGATCAAACAGTTTATAAATGCTAGGATGTATGGCTTGGGGCATAGGATGGCCTTCCTCCCACCATCTTGTGAGAACTCACGTATTTTCTTACTAGGGGTTTTCCACTGCCCCGTCTTCCAGCTCTCTCTCCAGGAGGAATCCAGGCAAACCCAGAGGTGGTTTAAAAAAAATCAAGGTTTGAGGACACTTAAGTTTAGACCACATATTTAGACATCTATCTTTTTTAAGGACTGAATATTATACTTCCCATTTACTTTCTAAATTTCTAGTTTTTCTCAGGGTTTTTAGGAGCTCAATACTCTGTGGACCACCCTGAAAAATGTTCTCCTGCTTTCTCTGAACTGATGGGTAGCAATGTGGCCAGTCATCAGTAAGCACTTTGGTAATATAAAACACACTAGCCATTTCAAATTCTCACTATTGTCTTCACTATCATTAAAAACTCAACTTCAAAAATTACACTCCTTGTGATTAAAAAAACAAAAACAAAAGATACTGTGGGGTGACAAGCTCACCCCCCTATTCATCACCCCACAAAACAAACCAAGATTGAGACCCAGCAGGGACAGGTGATTCAAATACTTAAAACATATCACATGCAATGATTACTTTGCATGATGGACTCTACTGCGTGACAAGTTTTTAGAAACATATTTGCTCCCCTCATACTTGAATAAATTCATAAGATCAGGGTTAAGGGGCACCTGGGTGGCTCAGTCAGTTAAGGGTCCAACTCTTGATTTCAGCTCAGGTCATGATCTTGGGGAGATAAGGGGTTGTAAGATCAAGCCCTGCATCGAGCTCCACACTGGGTGTGGAGCCTGCTTAAGATTCTCTCTCTCCCTCTCCCTCCACCCCTCCCCACCTTTAAAAAAGAAAAGATCATGGTTAAGAATTACTTCACAGCCTTAGACCACACTAAATCCCCATTACTTCATTTTTCTTTGTTCAAACAGAAATGGAGACTTGCTAGAGAAATTTATACTGTGCTGTGCTCTTCCCATAAGGGGTTCAGATTCAGCCTCTGATGCCAAAACAACTGAACTGCTTTGCTGTTCAACCAGTAAATTAATGGTTTGCTCTGCCAGCTGGCAAATCCAAAGTGTCATCAATGTCAGATTATCCACCAGAGGATATCAGTTCTGTGGATTATACCACTTCTACTGCACAGCTGGCTGGTGCCAGAAAGGAAGCCAGGGCCAGAAAAGAGGAGAGGTCTGAACAAACATCTAAATAGAAATGACCTTGAGAGTGGCCATTAGTTTGCATTTTTAATCCCCTGCTTCCTCCCTCCAGTGGTATAACCACAAGTGAACTGCTTCGGCTTAATTCTTTACATTGAAGATCTGACTCTACAAAGTATAGCAGCTAGACTTCTACAAACCTATAGACTCCCACTGCTTTCATGGCTGGATGCCTACCAGATATTTTTCCTTGGAAAATCCTAACTCTCTTGAAGCACTTATTGGCCTTCTTTTGTAGATCTTTCCCTAGTGTTGGGCAATTTTCTTTTCTCAGTGCCCAAACAGACTAGTCTCAACTCAAATTAATTTTTAAATCACATATTATCTAGTCTCTTGCCATTGAGGTATGTGGCCACCTGAGACTACTGACAGGCCTCCCTGTATCAGCTCTGTTTGTTGGATAAGTCTGCCCAACTGCTGAATCTGCAATGGCAGAAAGAACATTTTCCATTGCCTTAAGACAAGAAACTCTTGAGTGTTAGGTGCTGAGCTAGCAGTCTAGCAGAGAGCGCTAGCCACAATTAGCTAACCTTTGAGCCAAACCATAGGATTGGACATATAACGAATACCATACACTATAGCTACTTCTAGCATATGTGTTACAAGGATTCCTGAGAAGCTGAGGTTAATGAATGAGATTTATCAGGAGTGAGGTATCAAAAGGATATTATTCTCTGGAGGTCCAATCGGTGCTTAGCATCTAGAAAGTAAACCTTGGCACAGTGTTATCTGATTTCTTGAATTAATTCTCTGAAGTAGCACCTTAACACTGGCTCATCTGTTTGAAATCAAAAACAGAGCCTAGAAGAAACAAAAAGGCAGACACAAACGTCTTCCATAGCACTGCTGTGCTATGAAAGGCGACCAAACCTTTGTTATCAAATACCAGAAATACTAACACTTCCTGTTTTGCAAACTTTTGCTGGAAGGCTAGTAAGAAAAGATAGGTAGTGAACGAAAAATCTACAGAATAGAATGATTTCTGCACAATGCACAGGGGGTGGTCTGGCACACAGCCTCATCTCATATGAGGAAATCAGTGGCATAGAATCGACAAAAGACATAAAGTGACTGAGTCATGACTCTAAGACGAGATAACCTAGAGAGTTCTTTCTCTTTCAGTAAAATGTTAGCATGATATACTTTAAAAAAAAAAGGAACTCTGGTGACTGCCTTGATATTTGAAAGATTAAAATCAGTACAAGCCTTGGCCACCCAGTTCTGAGCAATAAAAGAATTTCGGATTTTGGAAAGATAAGAACTAGGGGTAAAAAAAAAAAAAAGAACCTAGATTCAGGGCTCAGCAACTTTTAGAAGGAGGAACCCTGAGGTGTTTGGGGAGGACAGGCAGAGGGTGGAGGAGGATATGCTGAGAGACTGCTGGTTCTAGGCTGGAAGGATGGTGCAAAAAAGTGCAAGGAAACAGACTCCTACGTGGAACAGGAAAAGGCTGAACTCACTCACAGCCCTGGCAGTTAAATCTCGCTGCTGTGGGGAGTTGACAAGAAAGGGAGGGAGGCCTGGGGGCAGCAGCTGAACTACACAGCAAAGCAAATGGCTGTGGGTTACCTCTGGTCCACATGCCTTAAGGTTGCTGAGCCCTGGTTCACAATTTAACTCACCCTGGGAGTCAGTTCTTGAAAAAGGAATGGTTAGCCAGGCATGGCACTCAATCCCAAAGAGAGGTCTGGGGACTGAGGCACAGGAGGGGGAAAGAATGGAGGGGAATAAGAAGGAGCAGCTGCACTTGGGGAAAACACAAGAAAAAGAAACCGGTGTGGGAATGACGGTGGTGGCTCTGTGATTCCACCAGGTGTCCCTCCAGTGTGAGGTTTTCTACTGCGGTAAAGGTGGTAGAAAATTGATACAGGCACCTTTTCAATTGGATACAAGCACCTTTGGTGTCACCAGGCCTTGTCCACACCCCTGGGTCTTAGGATGGTTCTGCATTTCATTTAGAATTTTAATGAGCCCCAAGGGAGTTGCAGCTGCCCATCTTACCCTGATGCCTTGAATCAATTTGAAAGTACCCCAAGCCTAAATTCGTGTTCACAGGGACAACACTGGCCTGTCATATGTACTTAACACTGGGAGGAGGCATGAGTGCCCAGTTATTTTAGTACTGGTGGTCTATACAAAGGAATGCATGAGAGTGCAGATTCAGCTCGGGATCTTCCCTGGATTATCAGTATGCAGTCTCAACTTGGTTCCCTTTACTATTCTTACATATTCCAGAAGCCTAAAGCACCATCACTCATGGAGGTGGCATCTGGGTAAGAGAATTAGTTGGGACCTCACCAAAAAAATGTGAAACTCCTAGTCATCGACTTTGCTTAGAACTTTACTAATCATTCGTTTCAAGGAAGCTGGAGAAATCATTCCTCGCTACTAACAAATTCATGGCAAAGTCCTTGTCTATGAGCTAAACAAATACCATCTGGAAAATTACCCTTTTTGCAGACAAGGAGAAGAGTTCCATAACTTATCTTTGTGCACTTCAAAAGAGTACCAGGAACAAGCAAGCTATAAAAGTCAACCTCTCTAAATTCGTTTAGAGAAGGTTAACCAAAGCAGCATTGTCTTATAATCAGATATTAAAATTAACATACACGTACACACACACACACAAACTAATAATGCTAAATATTGTAACAGGAACAAGATAATATTTGAACTGAATTTTTCACAGTCTGGAAAACACCATTGCTATTTTCCTTCTGGCTTTCCTTTCTGTGGTTGGAAAAGCAAAGCCCCTTAGTTTACACTTCATCTTCCACCAATGACAGAGTCCAAAAAAGTGACTTTTTCATGAGTTTCCTGCAGGCTATAGGTCAGGACGGTTGGAATTTTTCTTGCATAGTTTTCAGTGATTGCATATTGGCTAATGATTATTATATTTTAAAAATTTATTAAAGAATTAAACCATAGCAATCTTGTTGACTTTCTCATGAAATCCTCCTAATGCAGTATCACAGAAGCCTAACTGTATTTTCTCTTACTAAAGAGAAGATTAAATTCCAGAGATTATGTAGTGCAACTGGTTAACTTATAGGAAAGAGACAACACACTAATATAACTTCACCATCCAAACATGGGAAATGTGTTTTGGGTACCCAGTTAACAAAATACATCCATGGTCTGCAATGTCCTTCCAGTTTTATATCCAGCACAACCCTGTGATTCTAATTGAAGAGAATGGAGTCAGGATCTTGGTTTGCCATCTGTGCTATATGCTTTAACACATCCTTTTTGGTAATGATTCCGAGCAACCGCCTGAAAGGCAAAACAAGACAGCAAAACAAAAATAAATGTGCAGTTAGCATTCTCAGAGGTGATGCTTTTCCTCCCTGATCCTTTGCAACCTTGTCTTCAAGAACTGTCTACACCCACAGGATGAGGAGATAACAGAACTAGGTTTCATGCACCAGGCAAATGGGGCAGTGCATGGGTCCATCAACAGACTGCAAGCATTTTTACTTCAGGTCTCACATCCTGCTACTTCTTGTGCCTTAAGTATTCCCTACATATCTGAATCTTCTCTTTGGCCACCTAGCTCAAACACTCCTTTTCCAGGACACCTTCCCTGATCTTGCAAGCCAGCAGAGACTGCGTCCTCCTGGCAACCAGGCATGATTCTGTGCATGTGTCCTGTTTGCTGTCGTATAATACGGACTCATGTGTTCTCAGATCCTCTATGACACTGCATATTACTTGAGGGGGCAGAAGGGCCTTATCTTTTTGTGTGTCTCCTTGGAGTCTAGTGGAATACTTTCTTGGACAAAATAGGGATTCAGTAAATGTTGAATGAATAAGCTAGGGAAAGCCCCCTTGCTGATTCAAATCCTGCAAGACATCTGTTACAACATTTAGAAATTTTAGAGAGTGAAACTCTTATACAATTGCTGGATTAACATACCATGTTTAGAAAAAAAGCCACCCTCCTCCTCAACCTCCCTTCTTTTCCAATAAAAATAGCAGGGCTTCCTTTACTGCATAAGAAAGATCCCAGAAAGAGCCTTGGCCTTGAGAATCTGACGACTTGTGTTTAAAGCCTACCTCTACTATATATTAACTGGGGGCTCTTGTGTACATCTTCAAACCTACTGAAACTTGCTTTTTCTCACCCTCAAATAATAATAGCAAAGGTACTGTAAGGACCAAATACTATATATATATTACCTAATACCATCGTAACTGCAGTGCTGTCTATTCAAAAGGACACAGCCATTTCCTTTGTGGAGGAGGAACTGCATTATTTGTAACGTGCAGCCAGTAGTTCACATCTCTCAAACATACCTTCTCCCCCCAAACTCCTTTTCCATTAATTACGACAAAAGAAACACATCCATCTTCATCTTGGAACTTCAAAAGGGCCTGTAAGTGCTACTAATGTTCAAATGAATTGGGTTATTCTCTCTTTATCTCCCTCCCTTCTCTTTCCTCTCACAATCTCTTTCCTCCCCCAAAGAGCTCTCACCCATTGTGCGTAACCAGGCACTGGCGCAGTCCCAGCTTGCGGAAGATATCCACTACAATCTCCATGGGGGTGAGGTCAGTCACAGTGAAGGGGCTGAGATCCAGGATGTTCCGAAGCTTGAGAGTGGGTGGGGTGTATGGTGGCATCGGAGGAGAATGCTCGGTGAAATAAATGATGGAAGTACTCACAACCCCATCCTGTTTTTTTCGAGCATTTTCTATTTGAAAAGTAGGAGAAAAAAAGAAGTTGAAAATAGTTCTATTTTGATGGCCTCAAACTGGTCCCATCCTCCCTGTGCCTTCCCCCATTTCACACGTATTTCTTTCTTTCCACAGTGGGTCCCATTAGCCTCTTTTTGAAATCCTTACCAATTGAAATAATGAGGTCTCTTCGGAGGACAAAACCCACAAGTCTTTGGGACTCCCGGGACACCACCACTGGGAAGCCGCTGTAAGTGGTTTCACTGATGACAGTCTCTACATCCTCCACAGTCATACTGTCCTGAGTAAGGACAGTCAATAAAGGGTCATTTCTCCGGGGCTTCATCACATCCATTGCCAGGGTCTTATGAGCAAACTCTTCCTTGGCTTCAAGAAAGGGGTAACCGTTAAGACGAATGTGGGCATCATAGATGCCCTCTCTCCCAAGGGCATCTGCCACCCACTTGCTCGTCATGGCTGCAGCCATCAGAGGCACAATGTATTCCAAGCCACCAGTTAGTTCAAACATTATGACAACAAGAGAAACAGTCATCCGAGTCACCCCGCCTGCGAAGAAACAGATACAGGTTACTGAAAACAGGGAAAGTTCAGATTCATTACAGTTAAGGGCCTGTGAGAGGCTCACATCTGGGGAAAGCTTACTTACCAGAACATTGCTAAGAGGAGGTCTCCCCTACTACTACACAAACCCTAGCAACTGTGTCAAAGCAAGTTTATAATGGACAGGAGTCACATTTCTCAAATTAACATCTACAAAAGTGTAAGTGGCCTTCTGGAGTTTTCTCCTTTTGTTTCTTATTTGTGTGTTGCTTTCTCTAACCCCCTGCCCCCAATTATAAAAGTAATTGCAAAAGATATCCATAATTTGTGTAATGCTACCGGGACAAAAGGTTCTCTGGAACATACAGGCCATTGTCGAAAACTCAGAAAATGGTTTTTTAAAGTCTATAAAATAAAGTCATTATCCATAAGCTCACTGCCTAGAAATATGCAGAGTATAAATCCTGAGTGACTCTTTCAAGTTCTTCACTATGCAAAAATACATGTTTTTCTGTAAGTGAGCTCATAGTGTATGTTTAATCCCCACTGTGCTCTCCTCCCTCCACTTTACGTCAGGAACATTTTGCATATTATCACAAATTTAATTAACATTGCATTTAACAATGTTAAATATCAGCATCACATTCAATAGCTCCATAGTATAACATTACATGGTTATGCCGACTATAAGCCATTGAACCAGTCCCTTACTGTGCATATTTAGTTGATTCCAATTTCTTGCTATCATAAATAATACTGGGCTGAACATTCTTGGGCAGATATCCTCACCCAAGTTTCTGATCATTTCCTTAGTATGATGAAATTTGAGAGTAAAATTGCTCCCCAAAGGGAGGAATGTAGCTATATGATAAAGAATGCTTTCTTAAAGCACTTGAAAAATGGCAAACCCAACAGGAAATGGATGGTCATTTTTAAAAAATCTATAGTCAACTGCATTTAATATCACATTTCTTGGAATGCCTGGGTAGCTCAGCAGTTGAGTGTCTGCCTTTGGCTCAGGGCATGATCCCAGGATCTGGGATGAGTCCCACATGGGGCTCCTTTTGGTGAGCCTTCTTCTCCCTCTGCCCATGTCTCTGTCTCTCTGTCTCTCATGAATAAATAAATAAATAAATGATTTTAAAAAATCACGCTTCTTTATGATGTCACCTGGGTGACAACTTTTTCAAAATCAATGCAGACATGACTCACCTAAGCAGGCTGCAGCTCCAACCATCGCATAAAGGCCAGGGGTGATGCAATCTGCTCCCTGACTACACCAGCTATTGAAGATGGCCCAGTCATGGTGGTAATAAGCCAGCTGCTCCATTCCTACTCCTAAAAGTCGACCTGCGATAGCACCAACAGCCATGCTGGGGATAAACAGGCCGGAAGGGATCTGCAAAGAGAAAGCAACAGATGGTTAGGGAGAAATGATGCACTCGCCTGGCATGTGTTAAGGGCTAGAGGACTGACCCTCTGTGAAGCAAAGAGGCCAATGACAATTCAACTATGCACTATGCTAGCAAGTTTGTAAAGATTTGTGTAATACTACAGGGTCTAGAGGTTCTCTGGGACGTGCAGGCAAGTATGACTACAAAGAAGCTTACCCTGATTCGGGGTCCATCAGGCAAGAGCCTGAACTTTCCAGACCAACACAGAACTGGAGGCAGAAATTAAGCCTTTCCCAAAGAAAAAGGAAAATAGATGGAGTTTCTCACATATGCGGACATTTCCCCCAATTCTGAATTCTTATCAATAACAATTATCCTCTATTGACTATCTACTGTGTTCTATGCTGGATACTCTACTGATGAGATTCCCCCAGTTCTTTACAAACACCCCACCAGGAGACAGGCGTTATTATTACCAAATCACAAAGAACTCAAGGTTCAGGGAGGTTAAGTAACTCACCCACAGTCAAGATACAGTAAATACTGGTTTAAGTGAAATGCTCCTAATCACTCTCACTTATTGAATCTTAACGCATTGCTCACATTAAAAGGATTCTGCATGATGTTACATTTTATTCTGTAATAGTATAAAGAAAGACTCATTACCTCATTTTCTAAATAAGGTAGTAACTATAGCTGTGTGACTATTCAAAACAAACAAACAAATCCCCCCCAACACCACCACCAAAACACCTCTCAGGTCTCTATTTCTTGACTCTAGGATAATATACAGTGAATTCTCAATTTTCTCTGTTAAGGGAAGGAAATACTGACAAGGACAAAATAATGAAAACAGTAGACTGTTTTTAAATAGCTTGTGTTTGTGGCATACATTTGAATCTGGGCAGGTTTGATGGTCTGAATATTCACTTTCAATGAAAGAATGAAGCCATGAGGTTAAAAAAAAAAAAAGCCTCAACAAGCACTGTAAAACCTTCTGGGGTGTTGAGGAGGATGCGTATCAAGTCAGAGACTAGACCATTGCCTAAACTGAGCTGTTGCATCTCATTTTCTGGTTTGAATCTCCGTTTTCCTAGGGAAGAGAGGGAAATAACTCCATAGTTGGGTGCTAAAGGAAAGACAACAAATAACCTAGGGAGGAGAAAGAAAATACTTTAACTAATGTCCCTTTCTGGTTTCTTCTGAAACATGGAAATGATAACAGGCACTGAAAATAAAAGATGCTCGCCTGAGGTCCGCTTTTGACAGCTGGAATATTAACTTGGGATCACCTGTGAAGTTCCTGATAACGGCATTCACGAGAACTGTGAAGAATGCATTGAGCTATACAATGGGCTGAACCATATGACGTTGCTATTTTTGTCATCAAAAATGGTTGAATTTTGGCTCCTTTACTTGGTTCAACTTAACATTTTGCTTTATTGGCAAACTCTAAAGCCACCAAAAATGTGTTGGTTAAGAATTTAGTACAAAATGCACGTGAATAAATACCTCACCATCCTTTCTGAGGAGCAAAATATACTTTCCACTAGGAAGGAGAAAACATTTCTACTTAAATCTCATCGCTGAGGTTTGCCTTTGGCCTAAAACTCAGCTCGGACAATTTTAGATAGAGGTACAATTGGCTAGGAAGTTAGGACATGTGGCAGTAAAAAGGGCTTTGGAGGCTGGGGGATAATGTTACATGAAGTTGGAAGTGCTACATGAGCTTTGGAGGTTGCCATGATATCTTGGCTTTGCCCCCAAACCCACAGCCACACATATACCCACTGATATCAAAAGAATCTCCTCACCTTCATACCAAAGGTGAATATAGTGATGACAATTTTCAGGATGAGTGTCAAGGCCAGCTGCCACATGGCACTGTAGACTCCCACACCAGCCGGTCTGTCAGGCAGTTCACCTCCCTTGCTTGTGTTGAAACGGTTCTCATAATCACAGAGCTTGGAGGAGTCCAGAAGGCCACAGTCATTAAACAGCTCAGAAATGAGCTCACTTGTGCTCATTCGGGTGTATTCATTGGGGAAAGCCAGGATGGCAGTGATGGCTGTCACAACGAGTACCTCTATGACAGGATACTTGCCCAACTGAGTCGTCTTACGCTTCCGACACCATGCAATGTTGGTGCGGATAAACAAAGCTCCCCACAGACCACCAAATATGCCGAGTAGAATGAACGGCACCAGCTCAAAGAGATGCCATGGGGTGTGAAACTCCACATAAAACAGAACCAGGCGGCTGTTGCCAAATGGATTGATGGAACGCAGAGTAAATGCTGCCACCAAGGCAGCAAAGAACGACCGCCACAATGTTTTGAGGGGAAAATAGTAGCTGACCTAGAAGAAAGAAGGTGAGACAACAAATTTAAATCAGCGTGCAGAGGGGAGGGGCACCTGGGTGGCTCAGTGCATTAAGCATCTGCCTTCGGCTCAGGCTGTTATCCCCGGGTCCTGGGATCCAGCCCCACATCAGGCTCCCTGCTGAGCAGGGACTCTGCTTCTCCTTCTACCCCATCCCCTTCTGCTCATGCTCACTCGCGCTCTTACTCTCTCTCTAATAAATCAGTATGCAGAAACAGTTTTGGGTGAAAAGTCGGTGGTGCGGGAATGAGAGCTAAGGACAAAAAAACTGCCCAGGAATATTTGGTCACATGGTAAAACACAGAGTTGGGTGGGGCACTCCCAGACCACAATGTCCAATAGACACTGGCCAGGATTCCTGACCCAGAAGCAATGCGCATGCTCCACATACAGACAGAAGTACTTACCTCTTCTAGGCTGAATAACACTCCACCTATAGGTGCCCCGAAGGCTACAGATACACCAGCTGCTGCTGCGGCCGACAAGACCTACAATCCAAAACTCCAAATTAGTGTTGGAATAACGACACCTTTCCACACTTGATCTAATTTTTAAAACGAATATTCGTGTTTACTAAACATTTTTAAAAAAACTCACATGCTCCATATCCCAGTTATCAAAAATGGAGTTTAATTCATATTTACTTATTTTGAGAGCAAACACCTCAGGCTACATTTTGTGTTTTTTTTTATTTTTTTTAATTTATTTATGATAGTCACAGAGAGAGAGAGAGAGGCAGAGACATAGGCAGAGGGAGAAGCAGGCTCCATGCACCGGGAGCCTGACGTGGGATTCGATCCCGGGTCTCCAGGATCGCGCCCTGGGCCAAAGGCAGGCGCCAAACCGCTGCGCCACCCAGGGATCCCTCAGGCTACATTTTGAATGCATGGTTCAAACGCTTGAACAGGTAGGGGGTCTTTCCCTGGAATTAATCCAGGCATATACTTTATTCCGAATTACGCCCCCCCATCCCCCATACTCTCAATTCACTAAATGAATTTGAGTCTATAAACCTATTAACCACCTAAATGAGTTATTTTTGGTGATATATTTACATAGCACTTTCCTTATTAAGAAATGCTTTCTAGGGCACCTGGGTGGCTCAGACAGTTAAGCATCTGCCTTCATCTCAGATCTTGATCCCAGAGTCCTGGGATGGAGCCCCACTTTGGGGCTCCTCCCTCTCCCTCTGTCTCTACCCTGCTCACGCTCTTTCTCTCTCTCTCGAATGGATAAATAAAATCTTTATTAAAAAAAAGAAATCCTTTTTAAATGAGGTTTGAGAGAAGGTTGTAATGATACAAAACTATAGTAACAATTGGCTCACAGCTATTCAGGAGCTGCAAATACTCATACAATAGGTGGTTAGGGTTTTCTGTACTATGTGCCCCAAGGAAAGAGAAATAGGGAGCAAACCTAGAAGCAACTAGAGGCAACTAGAGGAGCAAACCTAGAAGCAACTAGAAGCAAACCATAGATTTTGAAGGGAAGAGAAGACCTAAATGTGTTTTGGTGTGGCAAGGAAAAGGGGTAGGTGGAAGGGGAAGCGGAAGAAGCTGTCTGAGGGAAATAAACAGGGACACGGAGGTAGAGTAAGAGAGCAAGTGATACTTGCTCTACCTTAGTATGTAGGCATGTGCATGTATATGTAAAATGTGTGTGACCAACACACCAGAATTAATAAAGTCCTTTCATTGGATTCTGGTTGCTGTGGAGGGGTAAGTGATTCATGGTAGTAAGGAAATATTTTTAAAAGAAAGTCTAATAATAATTAAGAGTTTCTGAAGAATAAAATGCTTCTTAGCAAAATAAATAGGCAGGTTTCCCTAAGAGTGCGGATGGCCTGGGAAAATGAAGAGGAGGAAGGAGTGAGGCCTCTGGTGCTAGCCTGGGAGGATTTGGAAACTTGTGCCTCTATACTGGCTTTCATCTGAGAAGATGAGGAGACTCAACGAGAGGATCTCAGTGACTGTTTAGGATGCATTATGAGGAAAAAGAAAGAACTGTGATGGCTAGTGTGCTTCAATTTTTTGCAGAGTAGAGTCTATCCCCTTCCTTCTCAAATCTCTATTTTACTCTCAACCATCTGCCCACTTTGACAAGGCCCCAGGACCCAAAGGCTTGCTGCCAATGGTGAGAAGGGCAGGAAAAAAATAACTACAGAGTCTAAATAAACAATAGGAAGTGAACTCAAGATGCAAATATTCACAAGTCTAGTTACAGAAATACATGACATCTATACAGAGAAACAGCCCGAACTTCCCTCTCATATTATAAGGAACTGTTTGAACAAAAATGCCAATTTTATGGAATGAAAGTAACCATCAATCTATAGTTTTGAAGTCACCCCTATCCACGTAGACTGGCCACAGTCAACACTTTACTCTTGCCAGCTAAAATGGTCTTTTCACGTCTTTAGCTTCTGTTATACATTATTCCCATCTAACAACTTCACCAGCTTAATACTGCCTTTATGCCCCTCTACAAACAATGGACTCAGATTTCTCTCTCCCTTTCCTGCTAGCCTTCTTCCCCAGCCAAGAACTCTCTCCCTTGAACTATCAAAATCTATTCCATATTTGAAATTTCAACATCTTTGAGTTTCCTTCTGGGCCTTATTGGTTTGTTTTGTTTTGTTTTTCAAATAAATCGCTAAGTTCCAATTTGGTGAAAATCCTTTCTAATGAAATGACCTTGGTCTTGACCCATTTCATATGTGATTTCTGTGTAATTCAAGGAAAACCAAGCAAGAACCATTATTTTCTGAAATCCTTAATTATAGCAGGATAAAAGTAATCAATGACTTGGAACATTTCTAAAAACTATTCTTCCTCCTCAAAATGATATACATTAAGAACTGCATGAACATGAGAACAGCTACAGAGATGCTGTGGTGGGCCTACTTTGGCAAGGTTGAGGCAGAGGCAGAGGGAGAGATCCTAGACTCAGAGAAACCCATTCAGTGTGGCATTAGGTAGAAACAAAAGATGGAAAACCTGGTATATGAAACACATGCTGAGCTTATATTCGTTCACAGGAATAAACGACTTCTTTTTAAAATCTTCTCTTATTTTTGTAACTTATTCTGTAATCAAACAGCACAACTTGTATAGAGTTATATGTAATACAAGTTATTGCAGTTAAAGTCCTTACTTCTTCACTACCACTTACTTCACTTTCCCACTCAACCACAGGTGGCCATTTTCAACAGTTTAGAGTAAAACCACTTTCCAGATGTTTTCTTTCTAAGTGCACATATATGTACTTTAAAAAAAGCATTAATTAAATTGTTCTATACCCCACAGTATTCCAAAATTGGTTTTTGAAACTTAATGATGTTTTGTAGCCATCAATATACATAAGGCTATCTTTTTTTTTAATGACGGCATGATATTTTATAGTATGGACAGAATATCATTTATTCAATCAGTCCCCTGTTTATGGACATGGCAATTGTTTCATTTTACCACAATCCTGACAAATACCACACCCACTAGCCCCACACATATCCCTTTGTTCACACAAAAACTTGGATGTCTATGGGATAAATTCCTAGAAGTAGAACTGCTGAGTCAAAGGGGATTTGTACTGACTCTAGCATAGAGTCCCCAAATCCTCATCCCTAAGGTTGTACCACTCAGGCTCTCGCCAAAAGAGAGACTATTCAGGCCATGTGTTGTTACCTCTCTGCGCTTGGCTTCGTTCTTCCTGTATTTGTTGAAGCAGTGGCACAGAATGTTCCCACAGCAGCAAGCCACGTGCACTAGGGGGCCCTCTTTGCCCAGGCTCAAGCCAGATGACACTGCCAGCACCAGCGTGATGGTTTTAATAATCAGGGTCCACTTACCCAAATAGCCCCTAATAATAAAACCGCTCAAGATCGTTTTTATCTGCAGGTCAAACACAGAGAGATTGAATACAGACTAAGCAAGTAGACAAGGCTGGGAGGCAGTAGTCTGGACCTCATTATAGAAACCGCACCTCTTGAACAAGTGACATATAAATGTTTGACCTACATGACCCCAATTTGGGAGGGAGCCCAGGAGCCCAAGAAACCAAGAACTGTTCAAGCTCTCAAGTTCCTTTTTTTGGGGGTGGGGGGCATGTGCTAGCTGGGCAAGGGAATATTGCAAGCATGGGAGTGGGTGTATATGGAGAAGGGGAGGCAGAGTAGGAGGGTGTTTTCCTTACTTACATCCTTACAGGCTAGTATAGCCTTGATTCTCTGCCAAAGACATTTGTAACTAAGACTTGGTCAGGAAACAGAGGGGCAAGGTCATCTGGGTAACCTCAAATCTCAGCAGTTTCAGCCACTGTCAAGCAATCTAAACCCAAAGTAGTGAGAAGCAGGATTTCAACCACCCTCCTGCTAGCCCACAACATATTATAGGAAATGTAGCAAAAACAGTTTTCTTTGTCCTGCTCGAATGAAGCTGACAATTACCACTAAGTTTTGAGGCCAGAATATTGGGCTCTACCCTTGATCATCTTGGGCAGGGGGCAGGGGTTGGTCTTCCAGGGGCCTGGTTGGCCAGGATACCCCCAGGGGGCTAGGAATTAACCCCCATTAGTGTCCAGGTGACCCAGGCTGGGAGAAGACTTGAGGGAAGACCTAGGGAGACTCCAGATTGCCTCAGTGCCTGATCCCGTTACACATGCAGATCGTGGTACCTGCTAGAACACAAATTAAAGGCTTCAGTCCAGGAAGGATTAGTTATTATTAATGGTTTATAAAGCCATTTAGAGACTCACCTCAGGAATTCCAGAGCCACAGGCATAAGGTGCAAACACTTTGACAAGAGACACAGCGAGGAAGGCAAATAGGAGAGCCCAGAGGACGTACATGAAGTAATTGACTATGTAGGCAAAGGCTCCCTGGAACAGAGGGAAAAGAAAGAAGCTTGTTTTAGTCCAGGGCAGCCTCGGTGAGGCATGCAGTACTTCTGAGGAAGAGGTTCTTGGGAGGTGAGGCCAGAAAGAAAAAAGACCAGGATCAAATCGCTCAAAAGGGTCTTCCCAGGATGGTCAGCAGAGGCAACTCCTGAGACACTTAGTCAGCCCACCTGGTACTGCAAATGAGAGGCTTGGCTATACCCAAAGGAAACTGCCACCAGCTTCTAAGGATGGATGAGAACGAAAAACAAACAAGGTTGTGAGCAAGGTCAGATTCCATATGAGAGCTTGGATAGGCTTTGTGGTCAAAAGAGAGCTGATTTTATGTCAATTTTATGAAGAGTCTTGAAAGCTCTTTTATTGAGATGGCTGGACCTTGGCTACACATTTGAAGTGAAGACCAGCTGGCTACCTGCCTTGGTGTCAAATTCTCAGGGGAGGTTACAGTGTTGAAATTTCCTGAGTGTTTTTCCTAAAACACACAGTGAGGTTCTATAAAGAAGCACCACATCTTTTGAGAGCATTCTGCTGTCAGACTCAGCAACAAGTATATGTGAGTTGAAAGTTTCAGGCTGTGACCATACAACAAAACCAGTGAGATGCAAGCTATCCCAAAGAATAAAACAAGAACAGCTATTCATAAAATGGAGAGAATATATTTTGGGGACTATCCACCGAGGATAATGAAGTCTGCCAGAAAATAAATCCAATTTTGACCACTAATAAGGAGTCACCAACATAAAGGGCATGCAGATAGTTACATCTTACTAGGAAAAAAAAAAGCTATTTTGAACAACAGGAGATTATGCTTACTGACAAAAATAGGAGAAGTTGAAACTCACTCAAATTACATGAAACACAAAACTCACTGCACTTCTGACTTCTTAAAACATAAAACGTTATTCAAATAATTCACTGACCTAGACAAGGAGAGCCAAACTGCTCAGGGTTTTGTTTTTTTTTTTTTCCTGAGTTACAGCTTTGACACAAGTTTTCCATTATTTTCATCCCTCAGAGGAATAAATAATTGCTCTCTCCTGGCCTTTTGAATGTAGCTAGGGAGGAAGAAGACTCCAGAGGTGGGGAGAGGGAATGTTAGGGCAAGTAGCTAAAACTGCCTAGAGGCAGAAACCTGGGGCCCAAGTGCTGGGCAGCAGAACTCTTAGATTCTAAAAGCCTGACTCTGTGTAAGGATTTCATTCATAAGAAATGACAGCCAGAGAAATCTGTCACTTGAGACCATCTCAAGCTCCAGTTTGAAAGCTGCACTTGGAATACTAAACCACGTATACACATGGCTCTAAGCGGGTAGCATGGGGGGACCTCAGGGTAATGGAACAATAGTTTTGTATCTTGCCTGTGGTGGTGATTACACAAATCTACACATGTGACAAAATTGCAGAGAACTGCACACACACACACACACACACACATCTATGCATGCAAAACTGGTAAAATAAAATCTGTGGGTCATATCCTGGTTTTGCTACTACACGGTAGTCATAGAAGATGTTACCATTGAGGGGAGGCACGGTGAAGGGTATAGGGCCCCCCCCTTGTTTTGCAACTACTTGTGAATCTATAATTCCTTCAAAAATAAGAGTCAAAAAAAAAGAGGCACGGGAATCTCTCTTTCTCTCTCACACACACACAGTCACCCTAAATTCCAGGGCTTCTCAAACTTTTCTACCTAAGTACTCCTAATCTAGGAGAGAGGGTAGGGGTAGAATACTCAGGAGCAGAGCTGAAACAGAGACTGTTTTATCTTAACAAACATGGGAATTTTGCATTCCTTTGTAATTAAATGTAATTTTAGAAAAATATTCTGCAAAAAAAAAAAAAAACCACCTGATTTTCTGAGAAGGCACATAGCATTTATCTTGTGGTTTCACCAACCCACCAGCCCACCGACCTTAAGCCAGTTTGAGAACAGATCTAAACCTTCTCACATTTGTGGTATGTATCCAACTCCTTTATTGAGCTCTCTCCCTAAGCCAGTGTGTACAATCATTTATGTACATAAACACTCTTATTTCTGACTTCATTATTTTCCTATCCTTCTTTTCCCTTGATTGTATGTGTGCGCGTGTACACATGCACGTACATACACACCATTTCAATTGTGGACCAAAGTAGCAATAAAAACGCATTTTAAAAGTACAAATATAGGGACACCTGGGTGGTTCAACGATTGAGCATCTGCCTTCGGCTCAGGGCATAATCCCAGAATCCTGGGATCGAGTCCCGCATTGGGTTCCCTGCAGGGAGCCTGCTTCTCCCTCTGCCTGTGTCTCTGCCTCTCTCTCTGTGTCTCTCATGAATGAATAAAACCTTTAAAAATGTTTTAAAAATAAATTAAAGTATAAATAGGGCAGCCCAGGTGGCTCAGCGATTTAGCGCCGCCTTCAGCCCAGGGTGTGATCCTGGAGACCTGGGATGGAGTCCCATGTCAGGCTCCCTGCATGGAGCCTGCTTCTCCCTCTGCCTGTGTCTATGCCTCTCTGTGTGTCTCATGAATAAATAAATAAAATCTTAAAAAATTAAAGTATAAATATGTATCCTACCCTTGTCTCAGTCACTTCGCCAACAGAGTAAATGAGTAGTGAGCTGAGATGGTACCTGTTTTGGTTGGTGGAAGCCAGAATGGGATTGAGAGCTATTTTGTTCTGTCTTGTGTGTTTTTGGTTTTGGTAGGAGAGATCTAACAAACAAACAGCCCACATGGTAATAGAAAGGGAAGGAACTGAAAAACAAAGTTACTTTTACGTTGAAAAATATCTGCTAGGAGACAAAGACAAATGAAAATATTGATTTCATCTCCAAAGAAGGCTATGGGCAATATTATTCCTATGTTTCCGGTATTTTGATATGGAATGGATCCTGATTTTTTTTAATGTTCTAATGCAATGTGCAGGGGAAAATTACTTTTGGAGTCAATACAACAGACACAATTTTAACCCACTCTTTGTTAGAAATTAGAGTGTACCTGTTGGCTGGCTCTGCCATCTTTACTGAAATTATTAGAGAAAGCCAGATTCAGTGACACCATATACTAACCACTAAGAAATACCAGGACTGTTTAAGACAAGCAAAAATGTTAGGTCACTGTGTAAGTATCAAACGATTCCACATGGCAGAAGCAATGGAAATGGGGCTGCACTTTAACTACAGAGAAAGGCAGCTGGCACTGGTTCCCCTTTCCATGAAAAGGAAAATCAGTGCATTCTACAATTGCTGTGAGTGCAGTATAAGAAATTAAGTGAATGTAGGAATAAAAATCAGTGGTTCCAAAATCTTTGCAACATGTTACCTCATCTGTGCTGATGATAAGCTGGGACCAGCTATTCCACTCAGGACATTTGTCTCTGTCTTCGAAGGTGACGTGCTCAGAGTTCCAGCAACAGTGCTCATGGTTAAACCAGAATCCCTCTGTGCATATGCCTTCTTTTAAGTCTGTCATCCAATGAGCAGAAATGTCTATCAAGCCAGCTAAGGAACCTGATTTGAGGTGAGAGAAGGGAAGGCCAAAGTTGTCAGAGGAAACGAGCAAAAAGGCATCAAAACAACAGACAAGTATAAACGTTCAGGTTCCCTTGCAATCTCCTTCTGATGGTCTGTCTGCTTGATTTCCATCTACCACCCCTAAGAGATTTTGTTTGTCATTAAATGCCTAGTCAAGGGGGGTAAGAAACACAAAACACTGTCTGCATTGAATACCATGTCTGGAGAATTTCTATATGGCTGGGGGGGGGGGGAGTTAGGGGAGGGCTAAGGGGTCTAGTGGGAGCCAGGGGCAAGTGGATTTGCCTTTTAGCTGATTTGTGCAGCAAAGACTCTGCTTTAACTTACAGTTGATGGCTACTGATCCATGAAGACAGTCAAGTTTATGAAAAATCATTTTATTCTATTTACATATGATTGGGAAAATGTGAACTGCCAGCATTGAAGAATATTATACAATCTTTGTTTGAGATGGCTGGCTGGGGAAAGGGGGCTGATGAATGCAATGGAGAGGAGAGCTCGGCCTTGTTAGCAATTTTGCTCCATGGAGAGTGAACCTGAGTGGTGGCAGGAAGGCATTCTAGGCTAAGAGAAATTAAGCTGGCAAAGCACAAACTGTGATGCCCAGGGAAGCTTAGATGAAGCTATAGACAATGTTGAAGCCTCCTGAGCCTAGAACATGAACATTCTGAAGTTTTCTTCATGAAAAAGGAGCAATCAGTATTATACGCAGAACAGCCATCAAAGAATACTATGAGAAAATGAATAGTGAATGGGGGATTATGTGCTATGGTTAATAGACTGGTTGGGTTAAGATAGTTACAGTATTTTAGATTCTGGCCTTCTCATCATTTCTGTCGTCCAGATGAAGAAACTCTGGCATACAGAAATGAAACCAGCCTAGAATCATGCTTTAGGGAAATAGCAAAGACATCATAAAATTCACAGCCCCTGAATTCCCAGACTGTTCCTGCATTCGGACACACTGCTTCTATTGTTGCTCTGCAATGCTTAAAAACAAAATGCCCTGTGTGTGCGAGGGAAAGAAAAATATTCACTGGTCACCTAGTGACAAGAAATACATTAAAAAGTTGAGGATATTACACCTACATTCCAACAGGCCGGAGGCCATGTTATGTGTCTGTTTGGGTAGGTGCTAAAAGTGTTAACAGAGGTTATTTACATACTTGAATAACCTAGTCAAATCTAACACCTTGTTTTGACACCTCCTCTTGGCCATGCCCACCTTCCCCGCCTTCTACTTCTTACTGCACTTAGTGCACAGATTCAGAAAATTAACACGTGTTACAGAGTTTGGCTTGTCCTCTGGTTGCTTCGAGTGCCTGTGTCTTATTCAACCTAACGGCAGTACCCTCCATCCTGTCTTCCCTTTTCCTGCTATTTCTCCTTCTTTTCCCAATTGGACCCTTCTTCCCTGGTTACCAATTTTATCAGCTTTCCCCTACCCTACAGAACAAAATGCTTTCCCCTGTCCTCGTTACCATCTCAAGCCTTTGTCCCTTCTTGCCTTCCAGTAACCACCAAATAACTCCAAAACTTCTACACCGGTTGCTTCCCCTTGAAATCTGACTCCTAATATTTATGAGATCAGTTTCTAAGGTCACTGGTATCCTCCTAACTGCTAAACTACATAACCTTTCTCGGCTCTCTTCCTTACCTTCAGCTTCTCAGCAATACTTAGCATTACAGACCACTTGGTCTGTCATCAGCCAGCTCTAAACTGGCCCAACCATGGTATCTCTCCTGTGAGAGCCAGAGGGATAGTATTAACACCCTAGACCACAGGTTGGCAAACTACGAACCAGGGGTCCAATGTGCCTCTGTGCCTGTAAATAAAGTTTTGCTTGGTCTCAGCCATGCTCATTTCTTGACCTATTGTCTATGGCTGCTTTTGCACTACAGAGACCATTTGGGCCACAAATCCTAAAATATTCACTACCTGGCCCTTTACCCAGAAAATATTGCTGACTCCTTCCCTAGATAATCTTTGAAAACTCAGCTATGCCTGGGCCTTTCTTCATTTGCAGCAATCATCTTATGTTTCCCGGCTCATAAATTTTCTCTAGGTAACAGCAGCGGTGTTGTTAACAATTGTGGGCACCACGCTGAGTACTGTCTGTACTAGATCTTATCTACTTACTATTCTGTCCTCATAGCACATGTGGATGACAGCTACTTTTACTAGCCCCATTTTACAGATCAGTAAACTAGAGCTCCCAGGGATTAAGAAACTTGCCCAAAGTCACAAAACTAGTAAGTGGCAGGGCTGGGATTCCAGTCCCAGTAGCTACAAAGTAGTGCCCATGCTAAAGGCCATTTTATCCCATCTGCCTCCAGGTTTCCTACCTATCCTCTGTTTCAGCTCAATAGTCCACATCTTCCTAGGCCCATCTTTTAATGTCATAATGATACAACCCTTAGCATTTCTGCCAGGTATTCTTGGCTTTTCTGCTTCCCCTGTGGGAGGGGAAGCCTGCTTGGGAGCCTGCTTTAAAGTTGTATGGGCATTGCAAGTACACTGTTCCTAGTTAGATTGTTTATTATTTGGAGTGGCTTAGGAGGTTGATGGAGAAAATAGGAAAAGGTGGTACCCTCCCACTCCACTGCCAGCACAAAAGAATGAGACTAAGTTTCCTGAGGGTATGGGCCACATCTTCTATGCTGTTCTTCATTACCAAATGAGAGAGCAGATGTTTAAGAAATAGCTACAAAAAACTCTTGGGAAGTTCTCTTTTTATATCTCCTCTTATAAACCCCATGTAGTACGTGCTTTCAAAAAAAAAAAAAAAACAACCCCTGATTATCTCGGGGTACCTAGGTGGCTCAGTTAAGCATCTACCTTCAGCTGGGTCATGATCCCAGGTTCTAGGTCCTGGGATCAAGGGGGCTCCCTCCTCATCGGGGAGGTCTGCTTCTCCCTCTGCCCCTCCCCTGCTCCTGAGCTCATACTCACTCTCTCTGTCTCTGTCTCTCTCTCTCAAATAAACAAAATCTTTAATGACAACAACAAAAAACCCTGATCTTCTCTAACAGAAGGGCTCTTCCTCATGACAATCACTGGCAGGCAATGCTAACAGCACCTTAAAATGGCTACAATATTTCATAGCATACAAATGCATTTAGATACATTTCCACCTTTAATCTCATTTATTTAAGGAAGGGGATGCTATATTAGAATCCCTTTACAGATGGGAACCCTAAGCTTCCTCAAGGTCCACCAGCCATTTATTTCATGCAGGGAAACAGTAAAGCTCAGCATTTTACTCAGTTCATGGCCTGGGGGAGGGGCACAGCACAATTGCAGGAGATTTGTTTAGGAAACAAACATAGCTTTACTTTACCTGATAAGAGCCCGATGAGGAGCATCAACAACCAGCCAGAAAAAGCATCACTCACGCTGTGAATTAAGGCCCACATGGACTCTTTGCTTTTATTGGTAATCTAGGGAGAAATGAGGAAACACTGGGTACACTCTATACACACCTTTGCTTTTGCACTTGAAGATGCACAATAAAGAAACACAAAGGCAACTCTCTTCAGGAGGCAGAGAGACCAATTTAGAGTCACTTCTCAAATAATCTTGGGCTGAGCCAACCTCATCAAGAACTTGGGAGGTTTAGTGAGCTCCAACTTTATCCACAGTGTTGCCATGGCCACAGGTACCTTAGTTAGGGATTCCCCAACCAGCTGTGCTTATTTTGTGTTACCTCAATTTGTTTTGCTCTTTGCAGTGGTCTCTTTCTGCCCTAGACACCTGATACCTTAAGGATGGTCTCTTGACTCCCAGCAAATAGTCTGACTGTTCTCCCAATCACAAAACATGGGCATGTTTGAGTGGTGAAAGTACAATGTGAGGTTTCCTATCCAGGGTGGTGCTTCAGGTCAGGCAAGTTCCAAGACTTGCTCCCCACATTTGATCACAGATACTACGCGGTATCAGAAATGCATCTCCTTTATTTTCGAAAATCTTCTGGGAATATCTGAGGCTAATCGAAAGGGGTGGAAAGTCTGATTCACCTGACCTCTTTGGTGCCCACATTTCAAAACCAAGCATTCTGACAGTTCTGTCATTGGCACTTCCCCCTTCCCTGCACCTCTACTTCTCATCTTTGAAACTGTGACTTCATTACCCCAACTTCAGCTACCATGGCCTCACAAATCATGATAACTATAAACATTTTTAAAGCATTTTAATAATTCGTTTTGATCTATGACTTTAAAGTTTCCAGTTTTAGTGCTGAAAGATGAGGTAATGTTTTTCTGGGATAATATCTCCATTCTGATGATTAACAGTTAATGCAAAAAAACACTTGAACATTTGATGAACAAATTCTAATTGATTTTGGATTATTATTCATTGGCGTAATGTTTCGCAGTTGTGGCCACTTTCATATGGTGGGAAATATGCCCTTATCAGAACCCAGGTGACCTTCACAATGTAAATAACATGCTGAACATGCAACTGATGACAAATTGAGCTCCGAATTACAGATGGCAGAAATATTAAAGCTGGCCTGATGAGTTAATATGATAGAAGATGTGCAGGTGTTCCCATATAGCAGAAACTTTATGAAGAAACATAGTGTTTTGTAGCGATCCCCCTTTTCAGTTAGGACAGAAAACTCAGTGAGATTATCACAAATCCAAAGATTACAGAGGAATTTCCCAAAACCTGTACCTAGGGCGACCTGACTCCTAGGTTCAGGTGATCATAAGAAAACCAGCCAGGAGCCAGGAATGGCTTGGGAATAAAAACTGATCTGAACCTGACTATCAGGAGACTTGCCTGGCTCTGAGAGAAAGGAATCATAAACTCAGGAGAGAATGGGACGAACTCAAAAAACAAATTTTAAATTTGAACTCAAAGCAGAAATAGAAAGAAAAAAATAACCCCACCTCAGGTTGGTGGAAGAAATGTCTCACCAGAGGATCACCCATTGACCTTGGATTGCTGGGGCTCGGGCCCTACCTTTTGAAGTTCTTTGTGTGGCCCTGACATGAGCTAGAAATTGTGATCCCCTGACTTAAATGACACACAGCAACGAGTTAAAGGCAAACAACCTTGGCAAACTGCTTTAAGAAGTTTTCACCAGACTCTGGAAAGGGAAAAATGGGCGAAATTCTCTCACCAAAATCAAAAGAATCTGTGCCATAGCCATTAACACCAACTATTACCTGTAATATTAAATTTATGTCCTCAATTTGAATTTGATTGGTCTTATGGGTTTGAGTTGAATGCCTACATTTCCTTTTATGGTTGTACCAGAGTCATAATTCACATGGACTTTATCCCATATGCTTCAGTAAACACCAGGCTCTGAGATTTTTTTTCTTTTATTGACTTAAAAGAAGCCCCTTTTCAGGGCACCTAGGTGGCTCAGTGGTTGAGTGTCTGCCTTCAGCTCAGGTCATGATCCCAGGGTCCTGGGATTGAGTCCTGTATCAGGCTCCTTGCAGGTACCCTGCTTCTCCCTCTGCCTATGTCTCTGCCTCTCTCTGTTGTGTCTCTCATGAATAAATAAAATCTTTTAAGAAATTTAAAAAATAAAATCCTACATTGCCAGTAGACACCAGCTTCAGCCCCAGCCAGAGCTGAAGGAAAGCATATATATAAAGAATATGTATCTTCCACCTCTTCCCCTGCTATTTCCTGACACTTAACTCCTGTCCCATCTCTCAGCTTACCTCTCGGTGCCTATCCCGATCTCGAGACTTCTCTCTCACCCAGTCAATTGTATTGAAATCATCATAGGTCCCCACACCAGGGATCGGCTCCTCCAAGAAGTCCATCATCCTATTTGAAGAACCTATTCCTCCACCATTGTATGACTTGTCCTCTGTATTGAGCAGGAAACAGACATTAGTAACTCTAAACATTTTAATACCTCCTTTCTGAGTACCAAAAGGTGGGGCCTTAAACAATCAGATGATTACAGTTAGGGTGTGCTGATAAAGGATTGTAATAATTGGTGAGAATATCCATCACATTTAGAGGTTTCTGTGGTCTATGCACAAAATGATTAGTGCCTTAAGGCAGTATGAATGGACAGGGACAGATAAGCTGGACAGTGAAAAGGGAGAATTGACAGGAGTTGAAATGTAGGGATCCCTGGGTGGCGCAGCGGTTTGGCGCCTGCCTTTGGCCCAGGGCGTGATCCTGGAGACCCGGGATCGAGTCCCACATCGGGCTCCCAGTGCATGGAGCCTGCTTCTCCCTCTGCCTGTGTCTCTGCCTCTCTGTCTCTCTCTGTGTGACTATCATGAATAAATAAATAAAATCTTTAAAAAAAAGGAGTTGAAATGTAAAGGGAAAGGATTTATTAAAAAAAACACAGGAGTGCGGAGCAGCTTAGGTATTTCAGTTTCTGTTCTGGAAGGGAGACAAAAGGGTCAAAAGTCTTTGCAGACATATCACATCAGAAGCCATTTTGCATGTATAAGACAGTAGTAGTTCAATTCTAGGAGGTGGCTTTTGCCTGAATGCGAACTCCAAAGGAAGCATGTCAGCCTCTTCAAGAGTTAAGCTGGCTGGAATGTACATATTTCCCTTCGATAGGTGGAAGACTTTGATCCCTGATGTAATGGGTTTGTAGAAACTTTTACTATGTCAAAACAGTCTAAGACTTACAAGTAACCAGCACATGGTTTGGTGATGGAATGTCCCTCCCTGATCCTTCAATGGAAGAAACATATCCACTTGCCCAACCGCAATCCTTTACCTGCTTTGCTTTCAGAGCTTCTATTATAATTACTTATGCAAATGTTTTGTCTTCCTTTCTAGACCGGAAGCTGTTTGAGGGCAGCCCTATATCCTTGTTGCCTTCTCATGTCTAATACATATCCAAGATTCAATAAATATCAGCGGAATCAAAGTTTATTTGCCAAACAGTGGGGATGAGAAAGAAGTATTCAAATTCAGAAGCTGTACACACACAAGGTTACTTAGTATTGTTTGACACACTTGTTCAAAATATTTCCACCATCCTCTGGTAAAACAGTTTTTTTTCTCTATTAAACACAAAATGTAAAGTAGTATTCAGGAATTTATACAAATTCACACTGAGGAAAAATGCAAAGTAATGCTATCATTGAACACCACCAGTCAAAGATCATATTTGCAGCATCAACCTTAGCAGGGGCAACACTTTATCCAGGCTGTTTGGTGATGAATCCCTGTGCAGGGATGGCCAGAGTAGGCCTGAGCTGACACCCAGTTCCCCCATCTGCATCCCCATCTTCACTCTAAACACCCACAGACAACTTCAGCACTCTCATAGGGTAAGTGGGAATTAACACCCAAGCTGTACCTGATTTACAAACTGTCAGTCTTCCAAATACCTAATTCAGTGTGCCGTGCCGGCAATACACACACTTAAAAGGAAAAGCTCTGCAGAATCCAAATCATATTGAGGGTGGGGATGGGACTGGAGTGGAGGAGGGGAACAAGTTAATCTTAAAACCCCTAACCAAAGTCCTTTCCATATCTTCAAGCCTACCTGACTGTAAAATGGTTGGCTGCTGAATCACCAGCCCAGCATTTCCTATCATGTCAGTGGCATACTGATAAAGATTAATGCTGGTATGTTTGAGAGCTTGGAGGGAAACAGCCAGCTAGGAAATGAGGACAGAAAGAAAATAAAGTATGGTGAGAGGGACAAAAATAAAAAACAAAACAAAACAAAACCAAAAAAAAACAAGCCATTTCAATTCTCAAGACGAATGCTGACATGAACCCAGGACACCAAACAACCAGGAATTTACTTTTTAAAGCAGGTTAATGCTCCAAATGAATCTGCTCTGATTTAAGGGCTCTGCTTTCAGGAGAAATTGAGAGAGGATTTTGTAAAATTGATTTTTAAAAGCACTCCCTAGCTATCTAATGTTACACTCTATATCAAATGGGGCCCCCAGCTCTTAAGGACATTAAGACAAAATGAAGATCTGCAACAGCTTCCCAACAGGAAAGAAAGAATCCTATTACATCACCAGGTAACATGAGCACTGCATCATCCTTCTTTGTAGATAGTCTCCTGTTAGAAACGCAAATTGTCAGGCAGCTCTGAAAGAGCAGGCAGTGATTAGAAGCCGACAACAGACTGTTTGTGATTCTCCAGATCCCGGTCTCCCTGGGATCACACTTCAGTTCTTGACTGGGCTCAGGTCTGCTTACCTTCAATCACAGCCTTCTTTTTTTCTGCCTCAAGGAAGAAATAACCTTGGCAGCCCGCATTTGGTCATTAAGGTTGCGGAGCTTCTATGGAAGGAGCCCCGGTATTAACTGCTTGAGAAGGGCACTTGCTGCGTTCTCTGCCACCTAAAGCACCAGTGTTCCCGGCGGTCAGAATGTGATGTCACTGTTGGAGTCATGTGACCAGACCCTTGGACCAGCCTTGGAGAAAGGAAGATTTTTAACTGAGCACAGAAGCCTTAAAGATGTAGTCTCATCTAAACAAATGCCGTCAGGCTGGGGCAGTCGGGTCAGTTCACAAAACTGGGGTCTGGACAAGTTTCTGTCTTTAGACGTTATTTAGCAAAAAATCTGAGAAGGCAAGGCAGGAATATCTGAAAGCATTTAGAAGAGTTACAGGGGTCCTGGGTTAAAAAGGGAGAGAGTCAAATACAAAAAAAAAGGCTTTTTGAAGAAAATGATGCCCTGGAGAGTACAAACAGGGAGAGAATCTCAGACGTGCAATGCGGAGTGAAAATGCCAGATATGGGAGCACATAACACGGCTCTATCCATCTAAGTTCAAAACCAGGCAAACCTAAATCACACCGTTTTAGGATACAAATGTAAGCTCCTACATCACAGAGAGAAGCAAGAAAATGACAAAAAGAATGGTAGCTATCCAGAACAGGGCGGGGGAGTCACCGTCTGGATGGAGCACATGGTGAGGGCGGGGTTTCCAGAATGCTGGTAATTTTTCCTAATCTGAGCAGTGGTTACCTGAGCATTCATGTTAGAATCATTCCTTAAACTGCACACATATGTTCTGTGTCTTTCTGTGTCTACATCGTAATTAGAGAAAATTATGAAAAATGAAACTGAATGCAAACTCGGCTCTTTTACAGCACCTCGTAACTTAAAAACTCAGATTATCCTCAAGAAAATGAGCTGTTTAAAAAAAGAAAGAAAGAAAATGAGCTGTTTCTTAGTATGGGTTCTCTACCTGGAAAGCAACATCAAATATGATCTCACTAATCCAAACTGGGTAATACTAGCTATTTCAGCTGTGAAAATAAATTCACTATTACATTTGCATTATTTCAAAAGCTCCCCCTTCCCAGGCCCTATTCCTAAGGGTATTCTTCAGCAGGTCTTAATTAACTGTGCGATAAGGCCCATAGAGTAAAGGAGAATGAAATAGCCATCTCTTAACTTCTCAGTGAATCTGCAGGACAGCTGCTGTTAAACATTAATCCAGTCAGTGTGCTCCAATAATTAGACCTAAATGTAGGGCTCTGAAATGTTGTGGTCACTCTCACCGCTTGTTAGGGCCCCATGCATCCTGAAATGTTAATACAACAAAACCTTATCAAATGTTAGGGACTTCATGAAACCCGTATTCTTTTGTTTTTTTGTGGGATTTTTTTTTAAGATTTTACTTATCATTCATTCATGAGAGAGAGAGAGGCAGAGACAGAGGCAGAGGGAGAAGCAGGCTCCATACAGGGAGCCTGATGTGGGACTTGATCCTAGGACCGTGGGACCACAACTGCTGCTGAAGGCAGATGCTCAACCCCTGAGCCACCCAGGTGTCCCATAAACCTGTATTCTTTTGGTACAGTTCACCATTGTCATAACATCTCAGTCTCTTGATGAACTCAACTAGCACTCTCTTGATGAACTCAACTAGCACTAATGAGAAGAATTAAAATGAGGGACGCCTGGGTGGCTCAGGGGTTAAGAGTCTGCCTTCAACTCAGGGTGTGATCCTGGGGTCCTGGGATCAAGTCCTGCATCATGCTCCCCGCAGGGAGCCTGCTTCTCTCTCTGTGTCTCTCATGAATAAATAAATAAAATCTAAAAAAAAAAAAACAAAAACACTAGGTCTGGTAGCTACACTGCAGTCCTTGAGCTAAAAGGAGATTTAATTACAATTCCCTTTTCTGCCAAATTTGTAATCTCTAGCATATGTTCATTATACAGACCACCAGGTGTAGGTCAATTGATATTGAGAAAATAAGACAAAGAAATGCTAACCAATTTGTAAGGCAGCCTCTGATAAAAACCTGATAATACAATTAACATTTGGGAACAAGCAGAATTATCTTTCTGGAACACAGATATGATCAGATCACCTTCTGATTTCTAAAATATCACTTTCTGATTTCTAAAATGTCAGTGGCTCCCACAATGTTTTTTAATTTTAATTCCAGCATAGTCAACATACAGTGTCATATTCATTTTTAAAACTTTCACCATAGGAAGGCCATTTGGCACAAGTGCAGACTCGGAATTTTTAGCTATCCATCATAATTTTTAGAATAGGACAAATAAAATACTTAAGTGTATAATAATGATGACGACAATGATTTTACAACCACAAGAGGAATTAAATTGCACTCTTTCACGGAAGTACCTATATCTGACTGGATCATCGCTTAAACTGTGGGTCATATGCCACATACAACTGGTTTCTTTCCTTACCACTTTTTTTTTAACTTACTAGAAAGAAACAGTAAATTCTTAAAACTTAGTTGTCAAGAATGGCAGCAGAGATGATCCTCTTCGGGACTAACTACTGAGGTACAAAGAAAGTAACAAAATGCAAAAGGGCTTTTAAAAAAACAAAACAAAACTAAACAGTGTATTAAGATTTAAGCTTCTGGTGTGT